TGGATATTCAAGTACCTCCGAGGTACGACTGACTTATGTCTCCGATTTGGAGAAGGAAAAGCCGAGTTGCAAGGCTACTCGGATTCTGATTTAGGGGGAGACGCCGACTCGAGGAAGTCGACTACGGGATACATGATGAGATTTGCCGGAGGAGCTATCTCTTGGCAATCAAGACTTCAAAAATGTGTTGCACTATCGACAACTGAGGCTGAGTACATTGTTGCTACTGAGGCAAGCAAAGAGATGCTGTGGATGAAGAAGTTCCTCATGGAACTCAGCCATGATCAAGACAAGTACGAGCTGGGTTGTGACAATCAAAGCGCAATCCATCTTGCGAAGAATTCGATCTATCACTCCCGCACTAAGCATATTGATGTGAGGTATCACTGGATTCGGGATGTGGTGGAAGGTGGACAGCTCGAACTCGTCAAGGTGCACACTGACCAAAATTGGTCCGACATGATGACAAAGCCGGTTCCAGCAAGAAAATTTGAAGACTGCTGTGAAGGAGCCGGGTTGATGCTGAAGCCGACGCATTGAAGTCGGAGGGGGAAATTTGTTGGGCTTCCTCCTTCAATGCTAAGCCCAAGTCCATTGAGGGGTTTCCTAAAAAACCTAACCCTAGATCTCACCTCCTCTAAATATTCATTAGTTGTGGGTGGAGGCTAGGTTAAGAGATTAGAGAGAAATTTTGAGAGATAATTATTTGATTGTTTGAGCAAAGCTTCATGCTTTGCATTTGAGAGATCTCTAGAGAGAGTTTGAGTGAAACATCTCTAGGGTAGTTTGATTATCACCATTGTTGGAGAGGTTGAGTTAACCACCACATTGGTGTATTTGATTCTTTGTAACCATTATTTTCATAGTGGATTTTTGATCTGGACTAGGTCCCGTGGGTTTTTACTTCTTCATTGAAAGAAGGTTTTCCCACGTTAAATCTGGTTGTGTTCTTCTTCTCTCTCTCCTGTTTTTCGTTTTGATTTTTTCGCTGCGCTGCTCGACCTGGTGAAGTTCAGGCCGAGATCCGAAATCAGGATCTTGTTGATTGACTTCCTCACAAAAGGCCCCTGAGCCGATTCCCAAAAATTTTAAATGACATATTTTATATTCTTTCACTTTTCACAAAGAGGTGAAACTCATACCTTAAAAAAAATCACCCACTCTCTCTATCATAATTTGACACTTTTTCTCAATTAAAATGATATAAGTTTGTATCCTTTAAAATGATACATATTTTTTCTATAAAATATATATGGGCAGGGCAATGAGTATCTCTGGAGAAACCTATTCCCCTTCGGCATACACAAAACTATCCTCATTTACTTTTTTTTAAATATATAGATAAAGTGGATCCCACACTTTTTTGTGTGTAGGAAACTCAAAAATATATTATGTAACATGAGATAGTTAGAGTCTATTTGGATGTGCTTTCTTTTCTTCCAAAAGTTGTTCTCACTATAAATTTGTTTGGATGTCTGCTTTAAAAAAAGTAAAAGTTACAAAAAAGTCAAAAAAAATAAATAAATTTGAAAGCTAAAAATTTTAGCTTCTAAAAAATTAGAAGTCAAAAGTCAAGTATTTTTTTTCAAAAATTAAATATTTTTTTTACAAAAATCTAAATAGTTTTAACTTTTATAAAAAATACCTCTAAAATAAATATGACATAAAAGCTGATTTTTTTTTGAAAGGCCAAACAAATGAGCTCTTAAACCCTTTATATATATATATATATATATATATATATATATATATATATATATGAGTTTGATATTTTTTATGTTATAAGAGATAAAATTATCTCATACTCAATACTCTTGTATAAAATTATGTAAGACTTATGTGAGATCAAGAGGAGAGAAGAGAGAAAAAAATATTAATACCACATATTTTTATATATGTGTAGGAAAAAAAATTATTTCTTATAAAATGAGAAATATTAATTCCTATATATATAGAAAAAATATTTTTGCTTTTACTGCAGAACAAATTTCTTTGAGATACTCATATAAAGTGAGTAGATCTCATTAATATGAATGTAACAGAGAGATTTTTTATGCTGCAAAAATATAAACATTAAACCATATGTATATATACACGAAAGGCCAAAGAAAGGGGAACAGTGACCCGTTTGCCATTTTAAAAAAAAAAAAATTTATCCAACTGCCGTGCGAATAGTAAATTTTTTCAAAATGTTAGGTGTACAAATTCACTATAGCAGGTAACGAACTTAGTTTGTTGATATGGTCTCTCCCAAGTTCGCTATACATACTAGCGAACTAAGTGTAATAAAAGTTTTTATGTTTCTCACGCACGCCCCTTCTTTCCTTTGTCTATTCTTTCATTAGTAACAATAATTTTTTAATTTTAGCTACATGCGTCGTTTCTTTAACCTTTCTCTCTCTTCCTTTGAAGTTTATCATCCGCTTCTTTAGACAAATTTTCAGCTTCAAAGTCCCACTGTTACCTCAACAAAAACGCAGCATCATTCAGTTTCAAAATAAAAATAAAAATTAACCACACCACATGAAAACCGCATTCATATAGATGAAACAAAAAAAGAGAGGCTATAATGCAAAAACAAAGAGACAAAAGATTCAATTTTTAAAAAACCAAGTCAACTTTTCAGTGATGAGAAATCTTTGTTATAACTATGCATAAATTTTGTTTTGAAATTGTGAGAGGTCACGTCAGCAAACTAAGTTCGCTACCTGCTATAGCAAATTTATACGCGTGACACTTTGAAAATTTTTACTATTTATGTGATAATTGAATAATTTTTTTTTTGAAAAAAAAGCAAATGGATGCCTATTCCAAAAAATGAGCTTATTTTCTATGTTCTTGGAATATATATTCTTTGCACAAAGGTAAAAAAATATGTGATTAAGATGAAAATAAATACAAAAGCAACGATAATATAAAAGTAATTTCCCGAAGAAAAAAATGTTTATTCTTTTAAATGACACAATTTATATTTTTTCACTCTCTTAAAGAGGTGAGACCCACATCTTTATTATTTTTGTCAACTCTCTCTCCTCCTTTATCTATCTTTTTTTTTTCTTCTTAAAATGACACAACTTTGGAAGTGAATCATCTCATGCGAAAAAGTGGTCATGTGGTCATGTTATTTGATCACAATCACTCATTTAAAAATTATACATTTTTTTCTCTCTTATCTCATCATCAATGAGTGGTTGTGATCAAATAACATGACCACATGACCACTTTTCCACATGAGAGAATCTACTCTCCACAACTTTACATCTTTTAAAATAACACACACTTTACCCTTGCCGGAACACCGAAAATATTTTAGAAGAAAGTCACCCATCCACGTCATCATCGCTAAATGACAAAAAACCTTTCCTTTCAAAGCATAGTAATTTTGGCTGTCACTACTCACTACTCACAAGAGCATTTTCCCACTCAGTGCTTACTGGTTGTATCCCTCAGCAGACAGCGGGGGGTTCCGCCACGTGTTGCGGGTGACATTGGCCATGGGTGGGGTTGGGTGACGGTAACTCAACGCAATGCAATGGAGCATTCCCGTTCTTCACGCTTTGACGTCCCAGATTTGATTTTCTAATTTTAAACGGCTCTGATCTTCCGTAGAGACCTAAATGATGCCACTTTGCTTTGTTCGCACGCGATGCTGTGGGCCACTAGTTGGCGGTGGCTAAGCCTTAAGCTGTGGCTCAGCTTCAAGCTTGGACATTTGTCGGTCAAGTTACTCTAATAATAATAATAATAATTAATTATTATTATGTGCCATTATTAGTTAGAGAAAAAATGTAGCGAAAAACTTTTCTTATTTCGTAGGGAAAAATAAGTTATCTTCTACTCAAACAAAGATGTGGGGTCACTATTCCTTTTAAAAAATAAAAGATAAAAAAAAAATTGACACAAAATTCAATGTGAGTGTAGGAAATATTTCTTCTCTCCTATAAAAGGAGACAATCATTGTCCAAAAATTTAATACACCGAGAACATCGAATTTGGTATTTTATTTTAGGAAAATATTACTCTCCTTTTACATGAGGTAACTTATCTCATTTTCTCTCACTTCGATTTTCGCACTTCACTTTTTTCTTTTTTTTCTTTTTTCTTGTAATGGTGGGACCCACGCATTTTCTGTCTACCACATAAGATAAGAAGGAGATTAATAAAATACTTTATTTTATTTAAAAATACATTTTTTCTCTTTTTACTCGTGCCTATTTTGATATTCTCTTTTAAATTATAAAGAACAAAATTTTTAATAAAAAGAAACACCAAATTTGGTACTCTTGATGTATGGAAGTTTTTCTCAATTAGTTGATAGTTGTCCTTTGTGGTTGGTGGATTAATTGAGTCAATTAATCTGACAGAGACATTCATTATCACAAACTAATGTTATGTATTAAAAAATTATACTAACGAAAAAAAGTGTTGATTTGTTTATTACCATAGGAATTTTTGTGGTTAATATACCCTTCCTCCGCCCAAGAATAACCTGTATCTTTTTATATTTTTAGTCCCTGGCAATATCTTCGAAGTCCTTTTCAGTCTCTGACAATAAAAAAAGATCAAATTGGTCCCTGAAAGTACAAGAAAAGGACCACTCTACATATTTGGGAGTTGACATAAGGACTAACATGGCCCCTTTTTTGTAATTTCAGGGACCAATTTGGTCCTTTTTTATTGCTAGGGACTAAAAAGGACTTCGTAGATATTGACAGGACTAAAAAGAGTGTTTACTCTTATATTTTTTATTGGTACTTTTCCATTTCTAGTTTGCTTATAGACATATAGTATGCAATTGTTGTCCATTCAATTGATTAAAATACTATGCTTTCATATTTTTAATATTATGTAATCAAAATTAATCCTTCTCATAATCTTAACATGAATTTTTATTTGTAGTTTTAATGTGATATTTTATAATATCTCAGCTGAAGTTATTTAATTTGCTCTATAGATTCTAGTTCGATCCTTCTAGTGAATAGTAATACAGGTTAGAGAGAGAACTCAGTATTGTGTTTCTCATTTGAAGCCTGAGCTTGTGGTCACCCCCACGCGGATAAATTGAGTGATAGATAGCTCTTCTTCATCTACATCAAGATTTTCAGCCTCTCCAAATATCATATCTTTCCCAGTTTGATCTCTCTGCTTTTTTTTTTTTTTTGTTCACTCAGTATCCTCCTTCTTACCATGGAAATTCAAGCATAGAAGAGAAGGTTCCACCGTCAAAATCAATCACTCTGGATTTGGCACTTATCCATTAGCTTGTAATTTTTTTATTTTATTTTCTGTCTCTCAAGCCTATATATTTTGTGAAAACAAACTCTCTGGAATTTCTTCTAGATTACATAACTTTTTTATGTGATTTCTGTCTGGTTCCACTAAAAGTCTAAAACTCATTTTTGTCTTCTTTTTCGCTTTCTGCTTAGTGGAATCTAACAACCCATTTTTCCTGAAGCTCAATTTGGATCTTAATACACACCAACCACACACTCCTTAACCCTTTGAATGCCATTTTCCCACTCATTTCTTAAGTTCATAGTTCACTTCCTAAAAACCACACACAAGGCCTCCTCAATCACTTCAAAGGTTTGAACTTTGTTGCCAAATTTTTCAAACCCATTTCCCCTCTATTCATAAAGTGCTTGAAATTCAAGTCCTTTTAGGCACCGAAGGATGCAAGACCCAACAACATTCCAACCCATGAAGCCTAACTTTCCTGAACAAGAACAACTCAAATGCCCACGTTGTGATTCCACAAACACCAAATTCTGCTACTACAACAACTACAACCTTTCACAGCCTCGCCATTTTTGCAAGAATTGTAGAAGGTATTGGACCAAAGGTGGTTCTTTGAGAAACATCCCAGTTGGGGGTGGAAGCAGAAAGACCACAAAACGTTCATCATCAAACTCCAAGCGTTCTGCATCATTATCTTCCCCATCACCATCAGTGTCCTCTGCAGCACAGGTTGCAGCTCCAGAGGCTGACCCGACCCGGGTTTACACTAACCCGGTTGATCAAGACCAACGGGTCCTGAACATTGGTGGGAGTTTCAGTTCCCTTCTGGCATCAAATGGGCATTTTGGGAATCTCTTTGAGGGTCTGAATTCAAGTGGGTCAAGTCTAAAAATGGTGCAAATGGGTGATTTTGAGGAGAATGTGAGTTGTGGCCCAGTTGTGAATTCGGATTCGGGTAGAAACCCGGGGTTAGAGATGCAGAGTAATGGGAACTCAGAGAGCTTTATGGGTATGCAAAATGGTGATTCAGGCTGTTGGAATGGCAGCCATGGCTGGTCTGATCTTGCAATATACACACCTGGCTCAACCTTTCAGTAGAAGCAGAGTTTTTTTAAGGAAAAAAAGAAAAAAAACTGAGCCTTTCTGGTTTAATCCAGCTTCTCAATTATGCTGATTGTTCTTTTTTTATAATCAGACACTATGGTTGTGTAAAGTAAAGAGTTATATAATTTGCCAAGCCTATGGATGGCATGCTATGGAGAATCATAAACCAGAAGGGCATTAAAGCAGCATCCTCTAGGTAAAGGCTTTTTACATATTTATATATATATGGTTGTGATTGGTGTTCTTCAAATTAACCAATGGTGCATATTGGAAAAAGAGAAGAAAGGGAAGTCATTTTTTGAGGGGATAGTGTAGAGGGATGTGAATTATTGTAGTGACTTGTCGTGATCACATGTAATTCGGTATAAGTTTTTCCATAGCTTTTGAAGCATTCCTAGATATATGGAAGTTTACTATATGACAAGTTGTTGTGCATTATGTTTAGATATTTGAGGGTATGTGCGGAGGATATGGAGAAATCTAAAGTACATTGTTTGAAGTTATATATATTGTTTGTACCTTGTCAATGGAGGGCCTGACAACTGACACCTTGTTTTTACTCTCTTAAGTTTCCCATATGAATTTGGGTGTTACAAAAGGGATAAATTATTCTATATCAGTATAAATTATACTTTCCATCTTAGCTGATGATCATATTTATATTTTATGGTTCTAATTTATTAGATATGTGATGCAAGTGTAAGTTGATCCGCCCCAAATTAAAATTGTTAAAATTCTGATTTCCAGTGTTGTTTAGCTTCTTTCAATGGATTTCTGCCAAAATATGTGCAATTGTGTTCATTCTAGTCTTGGGCATATTTTTGAGTCAATGGCTTGTAAAGATCCCTCAAAAGAATGCACCGAATTCCTCCTTAATGTGCTTCCATAACTAAATTGAAGTTGAATTGATTGTCTGATTGTGATCAAGGAGTGTCTGTTCTTTAATGGATGTATGATCATTTACGACCCAGCACATGTGTGCGGTTGCAAACTCAGTTTGGCGAGAAGTTCATTTATATATTTAACGAGTTAAGAACTTTGGGATACACTAGCTCAAATGGTAAGAGTGTCTAAGGCTTTATAAACTCTACATTAGTTGCTCATAAAATCAATGTGGGACTATATATCTCAACAACAATCTCTTACAATCATATCTTAACACCGTTGATTTTTGTCAATCAACGGTTATTTTATTGTGAATTAATAATTAATTAATGAGTTAATTTGTGAAAATAATAACTGTTGATTGACGGAAATCAACAGTGTTAAGATATGAATATAAGAGATTGTAAAAAAAAAAGTTGCAAGTCTTCTTCATATTTAGTTTACGAAAAGTTGGTCTTTCTTTGTTTTACATTTTGCAAACCTTTAAATCAAGTTTCAAACGAATGAATTGCTATACTGTGAATAAAATCAAGTTTGAGTTGTAGAATTGATATTGTATTGATTTAATTTTTATAACTTGTCTTGACTAAGTTTAGTTTGCAAATTGAAGAAAGAAATCTGCATGGTCAAAAACTTAGACAAAGAAAAAGAAAACGGCTATTTTCATGGTAGATATGGTTCTATCCGAGTTTGAATTTAAGTTGCGGCAACAACACTTTTTTTTTTTTTGGTATTCTTGTCAAACTAATCGAACCATATTTGTGAGCCGCCCGAAGGTGTTCGAGAGGAGATCAGTCTTCGGTTATTGATGAAGGTTATCTTTGAGATTATTTAAAAAAAAAAAAAAAAAAACAAGTAGAAAACTCAAAAAGAAATTGTCTTGTGATACACCCCACGAACAAGGAAAAACGTGTTTTTTGGAATCAAATGGATGTACACAAAATCAATTGCTCTTGATAGTTGATATGTCAATGGTTCAGTCGTTTACCTGTGCCAAGCATTAAATGAGAAGGGGAAATCAGAATTGTACTGGTGAATTTCAAACTTATCAGCTTTGACTAGGATTGTTATAAATGACCAGGAAAGAAGATATGACTCTGCTTGCTTCCTCTAATCAGTGTAGTCCATGTCAACTAGTAAGATAAGTTAGGTACCTGAGGTTGTGATTCAACAATGATGATTTTTTTTGTTTTGATTATCATCCCCATGTTTGGCCAACTACATGGGTTTGGATTTTCCTCTTAAAAAAGATAATTACAGAATAAGTTAGTTTTGTGATTAAGACTTTGCATTGATTCAGGACAATTTAGTAATTTGTGTTGCCTTATATGACATTTTATTTATTTATTTTTAAGATTTTATAAGAGTTATGTTATAAGAAAAGTGTTTATGTAGTGTTATAGAAATTCATTTTGCGTGCTGTAGTTTTTTTTTTTTTGCTTTAAAAAGTGTAGGCCTCGCAAAATGCTACGTGTATAAATAAAATTTGTGTGTCATATAAAATGATAAATACAAACCCCCTATAATGGCTGCCTTACGGATGGAGGGTCAACTTTAAGCCATTTGAAAGCGAAACAATTGGCAAATGCTGGACCTCAGTTCCTGCCTTTGTCGTTGTCAAGCTGCAACTCTCCACCAGAAACCAATTGCTAGACCATTTGATTTCATAGATTTTTTTATAATGATTTTTCGCTTTTGCAAGTTTACTTAACATGTGGTATAATTTATGGATTTAATGTTTTTACAGTAAAAATAGATAAATTATTTATATTTACTCTCAAAACAATATTTTGGGTTAAAAAAATATAATGAGAAAGACTATTATAATCCTAAAATAAATTATAATTACAAAAATATCTTAATTTTTTTCCCAAAACGATGTTGTTTTGGATTCAATGTAGATAATATCTACATTGACTGCAGAAAAAATGAACCCATAATTTATATGAGGAAAGAATATTGTAACAACTAAGTTGTGTTACTACCATGTTACTACCAATCAATCTCACCATTAGATCGATTATGTTGATCCAACAGTTATATTTATTTCCATCTTTGTATGGTTATGATTTCCCATATTTAAAGTGGAAACATTAAATATAGGAAATCATAACCATACAAAGATGAAAATAAATACAAAGTATTAAATTTAAAAGATTATGACAATACAAAGATGGAAATAAATATAACCGTTGGATCAACATAATTGATCTAGCGGTGAGATTGATTGGTAGTAACACAACTTGGTTGTTACAATATCTTTCCTCATTTATATGATACTATACATTTTTTAAATTGTCATATATTTTTAAGGAAACGTTTCTATAATAAATGTAGATAAGTTATCTATATTCACTCCCAAAACGATGTTGTTTTGAGTTTACAAATTAAAGAATTATAATGAAAAAAATTATTATAATTTTAAAATAAATTATAATTACAAAAATATCTTGATTTCTTTTGCAATTCTGGTCATTTTAAGTGTTGGTGGCATAGGCGGAACCGCCGAAGGATGTTAAATTAAATTCATCGCCAACTCCCTAGAGAATAGCTTTTTAGGGTAGAATTTTAATTAAATTCGTTTTACATTTTGTGGCCTTCAAAGGTTGAAGGGAACTTATTGTAATCTGTCTTAGTTCATATGGAATCTTGTATGATCCAAACATGGACCTCAATAACATTTCACCACATATATTCGCATCCAAACTCGAATGACAATTTTTAACATATATCCGAACTCGTGGCTGAATAGTGTTTAAAATTTTTGAAGAACGAATGTGTGGTTGTTTTATTTAATTTTCCAAAATAGTGTATAAAAAGATGCTAGTGCATAAATGTCTGGCGTTGCTTCAGTAAGCTATATATATATGAACAGGATTATTTTACATCAAATTTTAATTGTTGATTTTCGTACATCTAATGATTGAAATTTATTGAAAATTAATAATTAATTAATAAATAAGACCCAATAAACTTAACAGTTAGATACACGAAAATTAACAATTGAGATTTGATGCAAGAGATATTATTCTTACATCAGTGTAAATTAATTCTATCTCATATAAATGAGAAAAATTTCTATCAAGTCATTTGAAAGAATCTTATCTCCGGCCAGCTTAAAGCTACATCGTTTTGAATGTTACAGGAATTAATGAAAGGTGTTGCGGGAGTTCTCACCTGCTCTTTCCTATTTTCACTCAACAAGAATCATATCATTAAACAGCCAGGAACATTTATAGCAGTAAGTCCAACCCCAAAAGGAGAACATTTATTTTTCAAGTTTCTTGTCTCTCATCCAAGAGCTTTGGTTGGCCCCCCAAATTAGAACAAGAAGGATGCACATCTTATTACGTAGCAACATCAAACTTATAATTTAGGGCGTCTAACAGTTGATAACAATATTACAATTCTAACCTAAAGCTAATATTTTCCTGAGCTGCAGAAGTTGGAAATGCATCTAACATGGTCTTAAAATCAACATTCTCATCTGTCTTGATAGAGCTTGTGACTTTCACATCCTTCAAGCCATGCCACCAACACTTAGTATGACCAGAACTGCAAAAGCAGTTGTCCTCTTTTCTGCCCATTAGCGTCTTATAGAAAAACTGTAGTTTAAGACAATTAACAAATAGAATTAGGAGTTCTGCATATTATTCATAATTGATATAAACCTTTAAGCATAAATGCAATTTTAAATGAAAGAAACATTGGGAACAATAACATACCTCAATGAATGCTCTACTGCAGAAAAAAGAACGCAAGCTCAATGAAATAGTTGCAGGGCAGCAACTTGAAAGCAAGCTATTGACAAGAGCCAAATACGTAGTTTCTTTTTTTGGAACAGCACGAAGGTTCAAGTGTTTGATGCTTGGAGGAGGGGATGAAACTTGCAAAACATCTGGGTTCAATTCATCCTGCATAGTCCAGGGTACACATAAACAAAATAAGTAAATGTGCACATGAAATGAACCTATCAAGTACCTAATTTATACTTACTATAATTGGCTGATGGATAAAAAGGGATAGTGATGCCAAAACATTTTGAGGTTTAAAATTTTGGATAAATTCCCTTAAGTTAGAAAGATCTGGATAATCAATGTGGAACAGAACATTGACTTGCAGTTGACTAGAACTGTTCAGAAAAGATATAAAAGGTTTTGCGGCACCATCACCACAATATCCACACGTTAATAAATTTGGAGCATCAATGTTGACCTCCTTCAAGTTAGAGCAATTTGATAACTCCAAGACCTTGAGTTGAACACTTGAGATATTAATCCTCCCAGACATTGTGCAATGGACAAATTTCAAACTCTCCAGGAAAGGGAATTTATGAAACAGTTCAACAAACCACTCATCTGTGATAATAGTATTCTTCAAAGACCATAAGCATAACTCTCTCAAATTTCTGCACCTATCAAAATTCATCTTAAAAGGTGCATCAAAATCAGCAGGACAATAACAGAAATTCTCAAGACTTGGAGCATCAACATAAACCTCCTGTATTCCTTGAACGTCAAGTCTCTTGAGCTTTGGTAGACCAAACATGCTTAAAGATTTCGTCCGAGATACAGAACAGAACTTCAAAGTGATATATTCAATTAAAGGACAACGAGAAATGAGATTCTCAATTGCCTGTTCATCTCCCAAAGAGACACTCTGCAATGATAATACCCGCAATGAGAAGAACTTGGTTGAATGATTCAGGAGTGCCTGATCAACTCTGATTCGCCCCATCAACACTAACTTATTTAGTGTTTTGGCTTCAAGGACACACTTTGGCAAGATATAGCATTGTTCATAGCCATAAGGCAGACAAAGCTCTAGTACCTCAACACCAATTTCACTAGCCAACTTCATCCAAAGATCAACATCCCGGGACATGCACTTAAGGTCAAAATAATTCACAGAGAGCTTAAATTCTTTGATTGCTAAGCCTTGGTCATGGAACCTTAGCAATGTTTTCCCCACATAGTCAAGGAAGTTCTTTATTCTCCTAAAAAAATCTTCCACTGGCTGGGGAAGCGTCCCTACATTTGTAGGATCAAGGAAGTTCTTTCTTAACCTCGCAAAATCTTCCATTGGCTGGGAAAACGGTAGTAAAATTTTAGCATCAGAAAAAGACAAGATGGGAAATGTAGACCATGTTTCTCTCCAAGCCTTGGACAAAACACTGGTCAGAACAGCATCTTTCTGTGACAGCCTTGACAGAATGTCATGAAGGATGGTTTTCGGCAGATTCGATATTCGGTCCTGGTCCATTTCTTAACAACAAACGTGCCTGAACTGAAAGAACCTAGAACAGCAGAAACATGTGATTCAGACTAGACTGTGATAAGTTATATTTGTTGGGACGGAACAATCACACGCACAATCACAAAACCAGAAAAAAGAAGAAGGAAGAGAGAACGGAGACAGGTTCACAGTTCATCCAACGTAAGTTACATCTATCAATGTTTTTCACTATATTCTTGTCACTTCACTCATTCCAAAGCAATATGTTTTAATATAAATAGGCTTAGAAACTCTAGGGGGCGTTTGGTTGAGGAAATTTTTTTGGAATAGTAGGAAAATGTAATAGATAGAGAAATAATTGGAAAGATAGATAAAGTGAGATAGGTAGAAAAATGTAAAAAAAAAGTTGTTTGGTGGAAAAAAACTTTACTAGAAAAATTAGGTAACTTTATGAAATCAACAGTGCATTAAAAGCCAGATAACCGGTTTTCCGAAAAATCCCACCTTCAAATTGGGTTTCTAAATAGTGCGGATATCTATGTTTCTCATAAATCCATACAAATTGGATAGATAGGTTTTTGGTGAAAATACGTTGAAACAAACATGGTGTTTCTAAAAGCCATACTTGAGAAACATAGATATCCGCTGAAAAGCTCCCAACCAAACACCACCTAAGCAACAATAGCTATTCATGGACTTAAGCCCAAGTAACTAAAAAAGAGAAAAAATAAAATAAAAAGTAGAGCCAAGGCTCACAAGGCCAAGCCGCCAAGTATGAGTTATACTAAACAATATTCTCATGTACTACAAAAGAACTATAAACCTAGGGATCAATGACTAAGCTCAGTCAAAGATTTTAAACTGACCTGTATACCTTAGAAAACTAACCCTCTTGAATCAATTTAATATCCCTTAAAACTAGGAGCTTAAAATTTTGCAGGGATGAGTTTTTCATACAAATTATCATACAAAGCTCATGACTTTTTCACCCTCAACACACCCCCGTGACCCAAAGAATTAAACTTTTTAGCTTAACCTATCCCTGCCCCTCATACAGCATCACATCATGAAACAGAAGAACACAAAGTATAACATATAATCAAAATGGGAACCATAGTAATGTCCGAGATGATGTTTAGCAAATAAACAAAACTTCTGTGAATCAATTTCAGAGAAGAGACATAAAAAAGTATCGAAATTTAAGGTTTTGAGAGAAAGAAAATTGCCTGAGAGATATGATTAGGGATTCATCCACGATCGTTGGACCATTCTTTCAATTACTACGAAACTTTCACAATGATGAGAGGCCTGGTTGTGTGGCGGTGAAGGTATCACACACTGTGAAACTTCATAACAAGACATACAACCAATAAGGTTAAGCTACCGTAACACGCCCGCCCCCTCGGTTGGATGGGTCATGGCTGGATGATGCTTCAAGTCTGATTTGCTCGTGTAACAAATTTTTTTATATAATGTAAAGAATTTGGGCTCGTTTTTTCTACCTTGAATATAAAATGACATTGTTTCGGAAAAAAGAAATCATAGTATTTTTATAATGGGTTTTATAAAAGTTATGATGTAGGAAAAGTGATTGTGTAATGTTACAGAGATTCGTTTTGCGTGTTGTAATTTCTTTTTTTCTTTTTTCTTTAAAAGGTGTGGGTCCCACAAATAATTGTGTGTAGAAAAATTTGTTGTGTCATGTTAAATAACAAATGTAAATCCCTTTTATAATTATAATGAATTTCATGGTTATAATAGTTTTTTTATTATAATTTTTAATTTTTTAATCCAAATCAATATCGTTTTGAGAATGAATGTAGATAACTTATCTAATCGTCCTATAAAAATGGGATGGCACCTTTAATTAATTCAAATAAAAGTGTTTAAACTATGAAAAAAGTGTATGTCCTTATAATTATTTCACTCTGATATAGAGATGACACTTTTATTATTTTTTGTCCACTCTCTCTTCTCATGATATATCTTTTTCTCTCTCTTAAAACGATACAATTTTATATCCTTTAAAATGACACATATTTTTCTCTTAAACTATTGGGTGAAAATTTCTTTAACAAAATATCACACTATATGGGTTTAACGTTTCAAAACTAATATATGAGTTTAATGTTTCTTACGTACCAAAGTTTATTTTATGATACTCAAGTTGACTCAATCACACTCATTTTTATTTCTTTTCTCTTGTTTTTTTTTTCCATGACACTCACATTGAGTGGGTCCCACTCATTTTTTTTTATCAATCTAGCGCTCATAGTTTATTGAAAATTAATTAATTAATAAATATTACTCAATAAATTATAACAGTTAGATTAACGAAATTAATGATTAAAATTTGTTGTTAAACTTTTTAGTTTGACATATATATGAAATGATGCTCTACACACACAACACACACATGACACATATATGAAAGGATGCTCCGCGCGCACACACACACATATAGATTTAATATCTCTCATATTGTTAGAGATAAAATTACCTCTTATTTACACATAAAAAGTGTGGCCCATGTGGGGTGTAAGGAGAAGAGAGAAAAAAATGAATCCCATATATTTTTATGTATGTATATAAGATAATTGTATTTCCTATAATATGACAAACACTAAATCATACACACACACATAGATATATATTTCTCGAGCCATTTTTTTTAACTATGTATTCATGGTATGGAAATCCATAGTTATAACGTTAAATTACTTTTTTTTTTCTTCTCTTCTAAGTTACTTTTCAAAACATGTCGACTGACGTTGAGAAAAAAAAAAAACTTAATGTTATAACTATGTATTCATGGAAATACATAGATAAAAAGAGGTGGCTAGACATAAGTTGATCTCAAGTTATTGGAGAAATATATATATATATATATATTTGATATTTTAAAGCTGACAGAAAGATGTGCAAAATATTCTTAAAGAAACAATATAACGGTCCATGTTTTTTTATTTTTATAATTTTTTTTTTCAAATTTATACTGTGGGTTATTGATATTTTAATATGCGCATCCCACTATTTAATTTTTATAATGTTTTTAAAATTTGTACGTATCAGAAAACTTCCACACACAAAAAATTGCAGAATACGAAAAAGAAATCGAACGAACAAGAAAATTCAAGGCTTAGAATTATTGTAGATTTGCTTTGACTAGTAGCAATGTTATAGTATTCTTTATATCTTACTTTTTTTTCTTATTAAAATGGGATAGGAAACTTACGGCTTTTTGACTTTTTTTCCATCAATTAATAAATAATTATTTTATCCTTTATCTAAAACATTTCACCAATATGTTATGGTTTAATCGATTAAATCACAGGCTTAGTTGATTAAACAGTTAAAAAACGTAAAAAACACTAAACCTGGGATTTAATTGATTAAGCCACAGTGCTATACTATTCTTTATTTCAATTATTTTTTGGGTTCATGTTAGCATCAAAATCGCCATCCACGTTAGTATCTGAGGTGTCGCCTAGTGGAATAACACTCTCAGGTTCTCCTTCATCATCACTCTCCATATCCTCCTCCTCCTCTCCTTCCATCAATGTTATCCGACTTAACCCTTGTGCAAGTGCAGATAAACCGAAGACTCTGTCTTCTTAACCAAAATATTGTGGACTTCTTGTATGCATGGGTGCAGATGAAGATTGACCACAATTAACTTCAACATATATCTTAATAAAATTTTGAAATTTTCGGTCAGCAATTGCATCTATGACATATTCCACATCTTTATCAGCATAAATATCGTTACTAATATAGTACGTAACATCCTTACCAACTATACTCTCTACCCTAGCTATCATCCGATGAAAGCATTGGCTGCCTTATAGCCTCAATTTTTGGTGAATTCTCTCATTGAGCTCGTTGTATGTAGTGCCTTATTTGATTTCCATCATTTTCGTTTTTCCTTCAAATTGAACACCATTGGGACCTTCAAAATGCCTCTCATCGTTGTAGATCACTCTGTCTGTAACATACGTTTTTGAACTTGAGCTCATCTTTCACACGAAATAAGGATTAGGTTTCGGATTTTTAGGGTTTAGATTCATATTTTTCCAACAAAAAAGAAATATGCAAGTGCAATGAAAATGATTTCACAAGATTAAGGCTTTAGAGATGGTGGAATGAAATAGCCTCTTGATGAGTTGGATTAAAGATGAGAAACAAGAAAGATTTTGGTGTAAAAAATGGGTATAAGTGAAATGAGACCAAGACATGTAGATATAGGATTTCTGCCGTTGTTTAATCGATTAAGCAACATCGCGGGTTTAGTGTTTTCTACATTTTTAACTGTTTAATCGAATAAGCTTGTGGTTTAATTGATTAAACAGGGGCAAATGAGTGGAAGGTTTTGGGTGAGGGGCAAAATGATTATTTTTTAATTGATGGAGGCAGAAGGGTCATCAATTTATACGATGTAAAAATAATAAGTCTTACATCACATCTTAATCGTTGATTTTCGTACATTTAACGATTGAGATTATTGAAAATTAATAATTAATTAATGAGGGGGACACAATAAATCTTAATCATTAGATGCACAAAAATCAACTGTTGAGATCTAGTATACAACTTATTATTATTTTTTTCTTTTTTTTGGTGGTAAATACAACTTATTATTCTTTCTCCTATGTAAGATGATCTTGTCCCTATTAAAATAAAGGGAAATACTTTTCTTTTGTTGTAGGAAAATAGTTACCTCATGTTGTAGAAATAAAATTATAAGTGGGACCCACAGGTAAGAAGAGAGAAAAAAAGAGTAGTGAGACCCAATCCTTTTTTGAGTGTGTAGGAAAGTTGCTTATCTCATATAAAATGAAATAAACATAACTCTAAAATAAATATCGATAGATATTTTCTAAAAGTATTTTTTTTCTTTTTCTTTTTGATTTTTTTTCCTTTTTTTTACGACCAAAGTCCTGCAAAGTACGTCGGGCTGCGGTTTTTATTTTCATGAATTTAAGACAATGACAATTTATTTGAATTCGAAAAAAACTTTTTGATTCCTATAATATAAAATCGAAATAATAGAATTTTAATTAATATATTTTTTATTACTCCTTTTTTTGGTAATATGTTAAAAAAATGGAAGATTCTTGCACAATGTATTTTATATTATGAATTTAGTAATTTTTCGAAATATATATGTTAAAGCAAAACACCTTCAGAAGAAAAATTCAATTTTTTTTTTTAATGAAGAGTGACAAAACTATATCATTGATTATTTATAAATAATTAGAATCTTCAATATAATATAATCCTATTATATGACACGTAGGACCCACTACTATGTTTTTCTCACTTTTAAAATTTTCTTCAATGTGCCCGAACAGCACTTATCTAAAGGCATGTCTTACGTGAACGTTAAATGTTTCGACAATGAGAATTTTATGTAACTATTTCAGGAAAATGGTCTTGCACAGAAAACATATTAGAAGAAAGCAAAGTTAAATGAAAGATAACTCATTTTTTAAAGGGTTCAATGTATCTCATGAAGAAAATTTATTTCTAATGGACTTAAAATAATATCGTTTTGGGTTGAGAAAATATATTTTTATAATTTTAATTTATTTTAAGATTATATTAGTCTTTATTATTTTAATTTTTTTTTGTAATAAATTTTTTAACTCCTAAATGATATGGTTTCGGGCTCAAGATAATTTTATTTCCAATCATTAGATAAACGCTTTTCCTTTTTTAAATTACCTGAACTATAAGAGTAAAGAGCATTTATATTTGTGTTCCAGAATTATGTTTTTTTTTAACCACTTAAGAGAAATAGTTTAGAGAGAAAAGAAACAAGCAAGATGATTTGATGTATGATAAAAGAACGATTCTAGAAAGAAAATAATTTTAGGAGGGAGAATAAATAATAAAGTAGATAATAAAAAAATTTAAATTTTTGAATAAAGATAAATTTGAAAAATACCATATAAAAATTGGTTGCATATTGAAGTGTTATAGGCCACACTAAAATTTTTGACCTAATTACAATGGAGTTGGTTCAAGTGTTACATCTCATACCCTTAAGCAAAGTCTAAAGATTTAAGTCCTCGTGAATGCAAATTTTTTTTTTTGAGAGAGCTAGCCCCCCCACCTGTGGTTTATAAAAAAAAAATTGACCTAATTAAAACCTAATCAATCATTTCAGGGGATTCCTTAAATTAATTAATGTCTAATTCATTGGCAAATTAATCATCTTTAATTCTTAAAACTGATAATAAATAAAGAGAAAATGATTTCCAGCAGAAATCATGTTTCTACCTCATACAAATTTGAGTTTCTCTCTTATCATGTTTTTCTCTCTCATTAAAATATGGTTTCTCTCTCTAATTTGGTGTCCAAGGCAGACAGATGATTTCTGCAATAGATCAATCATTTATAACTTATAACCACTTTTTTATTAGAAGAAGAAGAAGAAATTTTTTA